AAGCAGTGGTATCAACGCAGAGTACTGAACGATTTCGTTGAGGATGGCAACATCAAAAATATTGGTGGTATAGTCGGTGCAGTTGACGGTTCTGCTTATATGGATAAATTGGAATATATTTATTCTAAGTCCGATATTGATAAAATGAAAGCTGACGCGGAAAAGAAGGAAATATTGGACGGCTACAGAGCACATATCAAGGATGTTCGTAACTATGGTAATGTGTTTGGTGAAAAGGCTGTTGGCGGTATTCTTGGCTATGCTAGTAACGCACAGCTGGATGCTACTGTAGATAACACATATTACAGCTATGTTATTTCCAACAATTCACAGGTAAACGGCTACGACTATGTAGGTGGACTTGTAGGTCAGATTGGCAGTAATATCCATATAAATAAGGCATTTAATTCTAATGAAAGTGCAGCAGGTGCATCTAATAATTATGGCACTACCAGCAGTACAGGCAATTCTATTATCACAGGTAACGCAGAGTCAATTAAGGAGCAAATCAAAGATACCAGTACCTATGGTCAGGTTAAAGGTCATAACTATGTAGGTGGTCTTATCGGTGGCTCTACAGCTGATAGTAAAGACAATAAGATAAATAATGCTTATAACGCTGCTAATGTAATTGCAACTGGCGATTATGTAGGTGGTATAGCAGGCTATTTCTCTGGTGCGGGCAGCTCTATTACCAATGCCTACAATGGTGACAACAATACCATCATTAGAGAGCTGTTTCCTATCATGGATGGAGATGGTGCAGGTGTAAGTCAGGGGAAGAATGATATTGGTACAGCGATTAAAAATCTTGATGATTTGCTTAATTCCCTTGTGACAAACCATGTGGGGTTAAATTCTGATGAAGACACTCCAGAACGCTATATATTGAAGTATTATGACGAGGCTCCAGAGGCGAACAAGGTCGATATAAAGAATAAAATTGGTGATTTAATATCATACTATAGCTTTAAAACCATAGATAATGAAGGTAACAGCAAGTATTATTACTACATCCCTACCGCAGTAGGTGACGGAGCAGACCGCATGGGTGCAGAGGGTATCTATGTAGATGCCAATGGTCAGAGAGTAGACGAAGATAAAATCATTGCTATTGACTTTAATAGCCGTATTTATGCTATTCGTGAGGCGTACCGAGATGCTAATATAACAGGTATTTCTAAAGTCGGCGGTTTGGTTGGCGGTTTGGATAATGGCGCTGTAATTGACACTACCTATAATGCAGGCAGTGTTACTGGCAATGCTGTCAGTGTTGGTGCTATAGCTGGTGAAGTGGCTAATTCTGCGAAAATAAAGAACAGTTTTTTTGTAAAGGGTGATGACATAAGTACAGGGAAAGCCTTCTCTAAAACAGATAACCGAGTAGGAGACAGCTCAAAGGGCGGTATCATCCAAACCTCTGTGCAAGGTAGTGAAATAACAAATCTGCGCAGTGGTAATGAGATAAAGCATGTACTGGATTCATCTGAAGCGGCAAAGAAATTTTTCGATCCTCAAAGTATGAACGATTCTAAAGGAAACCCAATTTACCAGTTGAAATATGGTAGTGATACACATTATCTATATCTCAGCGAAAATGCCTTGAATGTGGATGACCCTAATTCAAGTATGTCATCAACGGCTAAAAAAGTCGTTCAGGGTATTCAGGAATGTATGGAAGCGCTAAAGGTTTCTAAAAAAGAATATGATATCTATGAGGACAAAGATAACAGTGAACAAATTTTTGCTATCATCAGGCTTCAAAAGAAAGATGAAGAAGGACATGTTGTAAAGGACGAAAACGGCAAGCCAGAAATAGTAATCAAAATATTTGGCTTGGATCAGCTAAAGGGAACAGACACCGCCTCCGGAAGTCCTTCTACTCATCCTGAAACAAAGGATGATTTATTAAAAGCTGAATATGGTTTACCTGTGGCTTCAGGTGATATCATATCAAATCAGGGTGATACATGGACTGTTTATGGTGGTCAGACTCTGCCTCTTTTGAATATTTTCATGAACAATGCAGATATTGCTCGTGAATTTGAGTATGACGGCACTATTCATAATCTGGTAACTGATGACGTATCAGGTGTATATGGGCGAGCAGACTTCTTGGGCGGTGCTGGTAAAAACGTATATACCAAAGGCTACGAAGAAATGAGTGATAATGGTCTTAGCAGTCATTATTACTTAGATAATTCCAATATCTGGGCACCACAGCACGGCCTGCGTGTAAGCCCTACCGCCAGCGTTGTCATTAATCCTATCGGTCTTAATATCACCGTAGAGGGCGAAAAAATCTATGGCATGCACATGCTGCAGGGCTATTATGTTTCTGTACCCATTTATAACTCCTTGAAGGAATTAGTTCGCTATGACTACTATAAAATAGGTACTAGAGAAGGCAGCACAATAGAGGAACATACATCTGTTAAGCTGCCCGATTTAGAGAAGGAATTTAAAGTTAAGATTGACGGTGATAAAAGTAATAAAGACTTGTGGAAGGAAGAAGACTGGCGAGAATACAACAACAAGATAAAGAATGCGATTTTGAACAATCATCATTATGTGGTAACAATGGACGGCTTTGTAAACAGCGAAACCATTGAAAGCTCTCTTGGTGGATTGGTTAATTTTGTTACAAATAATACAGCTGATAATCTAAGTGGCAGCAGCTTTAAGGCGGCATTTGATGACCAGAAATTAGGAGTAGCAGATACTAATTTCACCTTTAAATACACCGATGAAAATGGTAATGAGGTTGAGAAAAAGTATTATAATGAGGACTCTGGTGCTTACGATTTAACAGGCAGCTTGGGCGGTATCACTGCTCGCTACAATAACTACAAGATAAATTATGAAGGCTACCTGAAGGTTGATAAGGCAAGTATCGCTTACACCTATGATGGTGAGCGTGATTATGGTGCAGCTAATGAAGATGGTACCCATTCTTGGTATATCAATGGTATAGATACTAATTCGACAGCTTTAAGTGTAAATGGTCAGCTTAAGGATTGGGATGCACTGAAATTACTGGAAACCAATCTTATCAAGGCTCAGATATATGAAGATGGCAAAATCCGCAGTGTTACGTTTGAAGAGCTTCGTGATGAAATAGGAGCAATAGATGTTGATGTAAATGGTACATACACTTTTAAATTATCTACTGATAGAAAAATAATCGATAAAGATAACAAGATTGTAAACATCGAGAATTTTACCATCAACAGCGATAATTTTAAGATAAGTGACCGTGGTAATCTTATCATGATGAGCAGTGAAAATGATAAGATAAATATTAGTGCAAATTACAATGATAACGGTACTATCAATAGCTATACTATTAAAAATATAGAAGATAATACGGAGCAGACTATCTATGTAAAGGAAACAAAGGCAGAAACTGTGCTGTATACTGATTTTACTGCTGGTGGTGACAAAAATGGTGCTGATTTATATACTAATCCACTGACAACAGGCAGTACAATTACACAGAAGCTTTTAAAAGCAGGAGCACTGACCTATGACCCAGGAAGCTCCCAATATCTGATAAAGGAAAGTGCCTTCGATGAAACAGGAACATCTATAACTGGAGTCAATGGAGCTGGTAATATCCTTACTACTATTACGGCAAATGGTGAAGAAGGAAAAAAACATTATTACGCTTGCAATACTAGTGGTGATGGTGTGGGCTTCTGGATTGAGAAGGGGGCAGGAGATGAGCCTGATAAATTCTATGAATATGTAACTCCAGAGGATTATACTAATAAGAAGGAATTGTCAGCAGAATCAAAGCTTCTGTTGGTGAATTTTGGTGTAATTAATGAGGATTCTATAACTGGTAATCAGAAATTTAATAACGCTTTTTATACTCAGGATGGTTCTAGTATAGAATCCTATGCAAAGGAATTTGTAAATAAGGACACTGGCGGTATTCTGCTGAAAAATTATTCAGATGATAGCTATAATAATTTTACCAATTATGTAGTATCTGACTATACAGGAAAAGTAATCTCTGACCTCTATCAGAAAACTACTGAAAATGAAATTACACTGTACTCTGATTCTGACCACAAGGATGAGATTAATAGCAGTAATAATACCATGCAATACATTGTAGGTATCGGTACTGCAAATGATTTGTACCATGTACTTACTAAAGAAAATAATGATGGAAATAGGGTAGTATCTGACTATACCCTTAGTTATTTGGGTACGGATTTTGAATTGGTAAAAACAGATGATGTCAGTGAGCAATCTTTCAAAACCTTGCAGAATACACTGTCTAATTATAATTTTGACTGGCGTATGGGCGGCACCTATGGTATGTTGTCATCACGAGCAGATCAAAAAGCTTACGGTACAACTGATATTACGGTAAAGGATAGCTATGAGACTATAAAGCCTATTGAACTGGAAGTAAATGTCAGCGGAAGCAGGGATTATCTCAACACTATGAAGAATGACCAGTTTACTGTATCTAATGGCGGTGAAGGTCATACTCTGGTAACTTCTCAGGACATAAAAGGCGATGATATAACTGGTGCGCAGAATTTTACATGGAACTTTGATTTTGGTAGAGTTGAAGGTACTGGTGATGATAAGCATATCGTCAATGGTTTAACAGGTGATGATAATAACCGCAAGGAAACCATTTTAAGCTTTGACAATGTAAAGGCACTGACTGAGGCTTTAGAGGGCGATACTGTAACTATAACCGTTGATGATAAATCAGAAGAAGTAAAGCGTATAAATGCAAATACCTTTGTTAAACGTGGTACTGATGGTACTGTAACAGTTTATAATTTAACAAAGCATGATGATAATACAGAAGCTGCCTCATATAAGGGTAGTCTGTTTGATGTATCACAAATGTTTGTAGTAAATAGTGATACTAATTTATTGGAGTTTAATGGTAAGTATTATGATGTAAGCCATAAGGATAATGACCCAGCTAAAGAATTAGATACCATTAACACTGTATTCAAATATGGCAACAATCTAGGAATCTTAAGTAATGCCAACAAATACGATTATCTGATAAAAGCTCCTGAGAACAATGCTTATACCTTAGAGGTAAAGCCTGTTCAGCTCAGCATGGATATAACCGTAAATGGCAGCCGCTACTATGGACAGCATACCAGTCAGGATTTCACAGATACCAATAGCTATAAAGTAACAGCCGTAGATAAAACCAATAGTGATACAGGTGCAATTAAGGTAATAGATGGATTGTACTATGTTTACGATGGAGAAATTAATCCAGATACTAAAAAAGCTAAAGGCTGGGTTAAGCTGGCGGATAATATTGCTTTGCAGAATAATCTTGGCTATGATAAAGATGGCAATAAGTTACTTGATTATGGTCAGAAATGGAATGCAGGTGAATATACCAACAGTAAAGCCGAAGGTGTAAAATTAACAGATACCTATGACAAGACAACAGGCAAGCTTGTAAATGTAATCAGTATTCAGGAGAAGGATGGCTATACAAATGGCATAAGAGGTACAGTAGCTAAAGGTGATACCGGCAGTAACGGTTCCATTGCTAATAACTATAATATCAGTGGTTTAGATGCAACCTATGAAATTAAAAAGGCTGATTTGTATTATACATTGGCAGGCTATCGTGAATATGGCGAAGCTAATGAAACAGGTATTTACCGGTATGAGCTGTCCGGTATAGATAAAAATAGTGGTGAAGAAAGCGTAAATGGCTTTTTGAAGAGCTTTGATGTAGGCTCCGGTGCTGGTAAAATTAGTTTATCTAAAATAGGTGAGAAATATAATTTTGCATTAGATGCTGATAAGTTTAAGAGAATATCTGGCAGCAGTTTTGATTTTACACTAGAAGGAAATGTTAAGGCTGACACTAATACTAATGTAAAATGGAACGATGCTAAAACCAGTGTAGAAGGATATACTCTGAAATCTGTTAGTGGTATAGAGTTTGCAGATAGTACATTAGCTAATAATTATAATTTGGTTCTTTTGGATAAAGATACACATAATACAGGAAAATTTTTAGCAACTAAAGTAGATGGTAGTGGTAACGTATCGCAGGAGCCTATAGCTTTTGCAAATAGCGTAACTGAAAATAGCGGTAAATCTGAAAGTGCATTATATATCACACCTGTAGAGGTACAGCTGTCTGTTCAGGGTCAGCGTTATTACGGTAATGCCATGAAAGAAGTTACTAAGAGCAGTAACTTTACTGTAAATGCAAACGCATCATCTCTCGGAAATGGTATATTTAACGTAACAGCACAACATAAAGAAGATGCTAATACATTTTTAGCTGCGTTAGGTGTTTCAGAAAATTATACAGGTACAACTACATCATCTAAGATAAATTTTTGGAGTAGTTCCAGTTTACAGACAGCCTATGGCAAGGAAGCCGATGACAGCTATAGTATTTATAAGAAATTAAACTCCATAGAAAATAATGGTACGGACAAATCTATAACTAATGCTACAAAAGTAAAATTAGATACTGACGGTAATGTTACAAGCTATGATATTTCATATAATATTTCAGATGAAGCTGAAGTTGCTGGCAGTAAGGTTAATTTAGCTAAAAATGCAGGTAATTATGTCTTCTATGACATAACTGGCAGCAGTCTTACAATCAATAAACGCAAGGTATATTACACTATAGATGGTTCTCGTACTTATGGCGAAGAAAATGACACTAGTATATATAATTTAAGCTTTAGGGACCCAAAAGGAAATACTGGCTTTGCGGCTGTTGATATTGCTAATAGCGATGGCAAATTAACTACAGATAACATCGCAGTGATGAAAGAAGCGTTAGATATAACGCTTGGTTTTGATGCCTATTCATCAGCAGGAGAGTATAAAAGTGGTGAAATAATTTCTACAAAATCAAAAGATAGCGATGAAAAAATTACAGCTAGTGTGACTGCTGAATATACAGATGCTTTCTATGGTAAAGGCTCTAAAACAGAAAAACCAACCATGTCAGTCACCGGTCTTAATAAAATGTTCTCTTATGATATTAATGGACAAAGCACTGGATTAAAGAGTACTATTAATATGGATAATTATGAAATAATAGGTACTCATAACTTTGATATTGCAAAACGCGATATTGCTTTGGCAACGACAGCTACCCGTACTTATGGCGATGAGTTAACTAAAGGAAATGTTTCTTATGAGGTTACTGGTATAGACGGAAAAATAGGTCTAGTAAATGATGATGAAGTTATTACTACTAATATGAATACTGTCGAAGTTGGAGATTTAACTGCTCTTGATGCTGGCAAATATACAGGTACAGTGAATGATACTAACAGTAAAATCAAAACAACCTTCAATAGCACAAATATTGCTACATCAGATGCGTTCTCTAATAACTATAATATTGCTGAAGAAACATATACATTAAATGTAAATCAAGCCGATTTAACTATTGATATTACTGGCTCAAAAACCTATGGTGATGGTACTTATACTACAGGTGATGGTTATTCCTTTAAGATATCTGGCTTGAAGAATGGAGAGACGATAGCAGACCTCTCTAATAACACTGATGGTTTAAAGGGCAGTAAAGATATATCTATTGATACGACAATTTTACTCAGTGGTGTTAAACAGGGTGACACTGATGCAAATGGCAATAAAGAGGATAATTTATCAGCAAGAGACGAGGCATATACTTCTAGTGAAAGTAAAGGTGTATCCATTTCTAATTTGAATACATTGTCTAAAGGAAAAGATGATGCTACTGGTGTAAAAACTGGCTTTAATGCTAACAATTACAATATCACCACTACTAGCTCATTTACTGTAGGTAAGAAAAAGCTTATGTATGAGCTATCAGGTGTAAAAACCTATGGTGACACAAGCACTGGTGCTATTAACTGGACTGCTGGTCTTATAGATGGCTATCGTTTAGCTCATATTGATGTAGGTACAACAGCTGATTTGGTATCGCTTGGAGAAGCAATATCTACAAATATCATTAGCAGTGTAAAGACAGATGTAGATGAAGGTGTTACTGGTAGTAAAAAATATGTGTTTGCTGATACATATGATGGTATTAAAGAAAGTTCTAGTATTATAAAAGATGAGAAACCATTATATAATGTTACCACAGAACATACAGATAGTAATACAGAAAATACATTTAATATTTCTGTAGAAATGAATAAAGATGAGTTTACCAACCTTATAAAAAATAAGAGCGGTAATAGAGTACTCTGCGTTGATACCACTGCTCTATATGGTCAGCATATCCTTACCGTTAATAAGCGTGATTTAGAACTAAATACTACAGCGAAAAGAGTATATGGAGATAAGGGAAATCTTACTGACATAAATTATGAATTGGCAGATACAGTAGATACTTATGATAACACTGCTATTACTCATGATTTGAATGGTGCTGCATTGTCTACTATTCTAACCACTAAGGATAAGGATAACACTGATAATGCTCTTGATGTAAAGAGAGATGCAACTAATGCAGTAACAGCTTACGTAACAAATGGCGAAAATGCAGAAAAGTATATTACTACCAAATTGAAAGATGGAGTAGATAATGTATTCAGTAACTATAATATCGTCCAGAATACTAATAGTCTGACTGTAACACCAAAGAATTTGACTATCGAGATTATTGGTACAAAGACCTATGGTGACGCAGACGCTGAAAACTATCATTTCCGAGTTGATGGTTTAGTGAATGATGAGAAGATAGGAGCAGAGCTTGGTAATTATACTGGTGAAACTGGTAGAACTGCTACTGATTTACATGTAAGTAACACAATAAGTGATAGTGACATTGAGGGCTATAATTCAGGCAGTTATTTGGATGCAGGTAAGTATACTCACGATGCAACTAATGGTGGTACAAAGACTCATGGCGGAAACTTGGTTATTGATAGTGATAAATTGTTTAATGATTTGTCTGTAGGCAAGGATAGTGCCGATACTGTGACTGCTGGTTTTAATGCCAATAATTACAATATCACTCAGAAATACCAATTCACTGTCACACCAAAGACTTTGGATATGACTATTTCTGGTAGTCATACCTATGGCGATACTACTGTTAATACAGATAGTGGACAAATGATTACAGATGGCAGTCATTTCTATGGAGCTGTGAAAGGTTTTGCCAATAATGAAGTTTCTGATTCTGATGAAAACAAGCAACGGCTCACTGGTGTTACTATAAATACCAGCCAGCTGAAGGGACACTGATGCAGAAGGGAAGAATACTGGCAGTTATCTTAATGCAGGTAATTACACATCAGGCTTAACCATTGATACTCCTAATGACGATCCTAACTTGAAAACATGGCTTACTAATTTAGGTAGTACTAATGCTGGCTTTAAGGCTTCCAATTATCAGCTTAACAAAGAACATATTTTTACAAAATATACCGTAGATAAGGCTAAGCTGAATGTATATATAGTGGGTCAAAAGCTTTATGGTGAGGAGTCAGGCTCCAGCAGTAATTCGTCGACCAAGCTGACTGATAACGGATTGCAGTATAAGTTTGCCATTGCTGGTCTTAAAAATGATGAGCAGGTGGGAACTGGTACATCCATAGATAGTGAAGGTCTTACAGCAGATTCTATTATTGCAGCGATGTACAACGGTGCTGTGGGTGGACATATTGCGAATATGGACGTTATCAACAATGCAAAGGATAACGATATTGATACCAATTATAACAGCGGTAAATTCTTAAATGCTACTGTAAAGCATAGTGCAGATGGCAGTAAGGAAGATACTCCTTATGTCAAGGATGCTGATGGTAAGTCTGTTATAAAGATTACTGAAGCTGCCATGAAGACGCTGACAAGACTAGCGATAATCCTGATTTCCTTGCTAACAACTACAAGATAGAAAGTATTGACAGCTCATACACTGTAGACAAGCGTACCTTGAATATCACCGTACAGGCAAATCGTGAATATGGTGCTTTGAATGATGACGGTACTAATGCCAATAAGTACAGCTATACAACATCAGATATCGTAGGTGATGAACATGCGCCAGATATGCTGTTGTTCAAGGAAATTACAAGTGGAGCTGTTACTACAGATAATAGTGCATGGAATCTCAGCACTGGCACCTATGGCTATAATGAAGGAAATACAGACAAAAAGAGTATGGCTTTGCAGCAAGACACAGATGGTTATTTCACTTCTGGCGAGTACCTTAATACCAGATGGAATAATACTGAGGCTATAACAAAGCTGTATGATAATTATGTTATTCCTACCTTTACAGAAAAGCTTGTTATTGACAAAGCAAAGCTGTATATCAATATAACTGGCAATAAAATTTATGGTGAGTCCACTGGTACGACTGGTGATGCCGTTTACGCTGTACGATAAGGATGGTGTAACAGGTCTTGTCCATAGACAGTATAGCTTTGATATTAGCGGTTTGGCACACAAGGATGGAGTATGGGATACCATAGGCAATTTTACAGATGGAACTAATTTGCAGGATGTCAATGGCGTATTTTATTTGACCAATAATCTTAAAAATGCAAGTGGCAGAGAATTAATATCCCACACTATTTCTAGCGAAAGTGGTGGAACAGACACGACAATCTACCAGGCAAACTTAAATTATAATCCAGATGGCTATAGCAGTGATTCAGACGGTAATAATCTGATAAAGATTAGCAATTTAGCTTCTGTATTTAAAAGTGCAAATGGTGAGGCTTTAGACAAAAATTATGAGATTATCAACAGTAGTTTCTATAATGTGGCTAAACGTCGTGTAAATATCGGTGTTACTGCAACACGAGACTATGGCTCCCATGACTTGCGGGATATAAGCTGTGGTATTGAGGAGCAGAATATTGATACATCTACAGGTATAATGTCATTTGAATATGGCTACTCAGATGTTATGGCTGGTAATTTATCAACTCCAGCTGTAACAGACAATACTAGTATCTCTCTTGATGTGGGAACTCATTCTGTTACAGGAAGTGACTTAGTTGCAGAGTTCGACTATGATGATACCAATAAGGATTTAGGTGATACACTGCTTGAAAATTATGTTGTTAATAAAGACAGCCACGTTCTGCATGTAAACCCAGTGGATCTTAATGTAACCATAAAAGGCAAAAAGACCTATGGTGGTGAAGCAAGCTACGAGTATACCTTCAGTGGTCTGCAGAATGGTGAAACCATTGCAGGAATTGGTAATGCAACTGGTATTTCAAGTGATATAAATGTAGCCAATACCTTAAAGATAATGACGCTGTTTATAACACAGATATTTATCTTGATGTAGGAAATTATACATCTGACAGTGTATCTATACTAAATAAGTTTGACAGTGTTAAAATCTCTAACTGGGATGGTTTGTCAACAACAGACAGCACCTCTGTAGCAGGCTTCAACGCTAAAAATTACAACATCATCACCAGCTACGATTTCACTGTTGATAAGGCAAAGGCTAATATCAATATCACTGGTTCTAAAACCTATGGTGAAGATACTCAAAGCAAAGGCTATACTATTTCTCTTGGTTTGAAAAATGGTGAAACAGCAGGTCAGTCACAGTGGGTATCTGATGTTGAGGTTAATACTTCTGAGATGTTTGATGATGATATTGGCAGTGATGGTGAAGGTATAGCCTATAATTCTGGGAAATATCTTGATGCTGACAAATATGATAATAAATTAGGTATCAATGCTTCAGATGTGGTTGATGAAATTAACAGTAAGACTGAGCTAAAGAACAACGATACTGGCTTTAAGACCTCTAACTATGATTTTTCAACTAAAACTAGTGAATATATTGTAAATAAAAAGGATTTGACTATCGGTATCACTGGTAATAAAACCTATGGCGATGCGACTACTTACAATATGAGCGGTTATAGTGCTGAAATTACAGGTCTGGTGGGTGATGAAAACATCAACCTGTTAGGTAATTCTAGTGCGGTTGTTACTAATGAGGCAAGTGATGGCAAGGATGGCAATGGTCTTCGTGATACATATCTTGATGCAGGTATTTACAAAAACACTATAAAAATATCTGATGATGTATTAAATGACAATGCACAGAATACCTTTAAAACATCTAATTACAAGATCACTCAGAACAGTGTCTATACTGTAGGCAAAAAGGACATGGTACTTACCACAGCTGGCAAGCGTACCTATGGTGTGGCTGCTGGCAAGGATGTATCTACTGTAAATGATGGTATAGTGTATTCATATTCAACAGATGGTCTGTTAGCTGATGATGTGGCTGTATTTGAAGCATCTAAGAAATCAACGAATAATACCACTGTTGCAACCACAGCAGCAGGAAAATACGGTACAGAAAATGGTGGTGAGCAGGTACTTACAACTACTATCAATGATAATTCTGCTGCCAATAGTATCACTAAAAATTACAATATCAAGGCTAAAGATGATTTTACTATTGATAAGGCAAAATTAAGTGTAGCTGTTGAAGGAAACAAGGTATATGGTTCTGATTTGGTGAAATACAACATCAATATTGATGGCTTGCGTAATGGCGAAACCGTCGGCAGTGATATTGTAAATAATGCAGTAGATTCTGACATAGACGGTTATAACAGGGGTGTATTCCTTGATGCAGGCAGATATGGTGACATTTCTGCAGAGGACACTCATGACAGCAATTCTAAATTGTTGAATTTAACTGGTTTGTGGAAGAAGGATACTGGCAGTGGCTATGACCTCAATAATTATGAGGTTGTCAGCTACAGGGACCAGCTTAATGTAGCGAAAGCATCGCTTAGTATTGATATTTCAGGTGAAAAAATCAGTGGAGAAGAGACCTCTGCCAAGTTCAAGGATTATGATGTTACTATAAGCGGTCTGCAAAATGGCGAAACTATTTTGACTTGACAGATGGCAGTTATCTGGCAAAGGATGATAAAAATCCATATAATGGTGTTGTCACAGACATAATTCACATGGGAGCAACTGCACCAACTGAGCTGGACCCAAAGGGAACTATGCTTATGACTGGTCATTACTATAATACTATGTTTTTACCAAGCTATTTCCTGCCTACTGGTTTCAAGCCAGATAATTATGATATAACTCAGACAAGTCATTACGAGGTAAAGCCTGTGCTGGCAACTTCAGAAAACGATGATAAGCTTAAATTTACCAAAAATAGAAGTAATGGTGGATTTGGCTGCAATTATATGAAGGATGTACTGTATCTGCAAATAGTTGGTACTGGCATTCGTATCAATCATCCAGATGATGAAGCTGATGATGCCGAAGAACTGATAGAAGATTGACAGCTGCTTAGGATTTTCAGGATATTCATTATGGAAAATTGAAGTTACAGCATAAATTGTTCTATGGTTACAAGTTTACACTTTTTTATCGGAAAAATTATGGTAATTTAATTTTTTCTACTTGACAAATGTCTACAAATGAGAGATAATAGGTAATGTTGAAAAAGTCGTGGTACATATTCTGTTTGTTCAATGGAGGGGTAGTTTTATGAAGCACGTTTTATCCGTATTCGTGCATAATCAGCCTGGTGTATTGGTTCGTGTGGCGAGCCTGTTTTCCAGACGAGAGTTCAACATTGACAGCCTTTCTGTTGGTGTTACTGAATCACCTGATTTTTCCGTATCACTGTGGTAGTGCATGGTGATGAGTATCTGGTGAATCAGATGATTAAGCAGTTGGAGAAGCTTCCAGATGTGGAGGCGGTTCAGCGACTTGAAGACAAGGAGTCGGTTTATCGTGGCATGACTATGATTAAGGTTAAGGCTGACGATACCAACCGATTAGATGTATTAAAAATGGCTGAGCTTTTTAGAGCTCGTGTCATAGATGTTCAGCCCACAACTCTGATTTTCGAGATTACCGGTGATGACGACAAGGTAACAGCATTTACACGCATCCTTGCCCCTTATGGCATTTTGGAGATCATCCGTACTGGACTTATTGGTCTGGAACGTGGCGAGCATACAATTCAAGAACATTGTGAGGAGAGAGATTATTATGGCAAAAATCTTTTATGATCAGGACGTAAACTGGGAAGTTATCAAGGGCAAGACCGTTGCAATTATTGGTTACGGTTCCCAGGGTCATGCACATGCACTGAATCTGAAGGAGAGCGGCCTTGACGTTGTTGTTGGTCTGTACAATGGTTCCAAGTCCAAGGCTGTTGCTGAGAGCAAGGGCCTGAAGGTTCTGCCAGTTGGCGAGGCTACTGCAGCTGCTGATATCGTTATGATTCTGATTCCAGACGAGAAGCAGGCTGATGTATATAAGAATGAGATTGCTCCAAACCTGAAGTCCGGTGCTGCTCTGGCATTCGCTCATGGTTTCAACATTCATTTCCAGCAGATTCAGCCACCAGCTGATGTTGACGTATTCATGGTTGCTCCTAAGGGTCCTGGCCATCTGGTTCGTCGTACCTTCGTACAGGGTGGCGGTGTTCCTGACGTATTCGCTGTACATCAGGATGCTACTGGTCATGCTTTCGAGCTGGCTCTGGCTTATGCTCGTGGTATCGGCGGTACTCGTTCCGGCTGCATTCAGACTACCTTCAAGGAAGAGACTGAGACCGACCTGTTCGGTGAGCAGGCTGTTCTGTGCGGTGGCGTATGCTCCCTGATTAAGAATGGTTTCGAGACTCTGGTTGCTGCTGGTTATCAGCCAGAAATCGCTTACTTCGAGTGCTTCCATGAGATGAAGCTGATCGTTGACCTCATGTATGAGGGTGGTATGGCTAAGATGCGTAAGTCCATCTCCAACACTGCTGAGTATGGTGACTATGTATCTGGTCCTCGTGTAGTTGCTGAGCCAAGCCGTAAGGCTATGGAGCAGGTTCTGAAGGAGATTCAGGACGGTACCTTCGCTAACAAGTTCCTGACTGACAACCGTGCTGCTGGTTGGGCTAACTTCTACGCTATGCGTCGCATCAATGCTGAGCATCAGATTGAGGAAGTTGGTAGCAAGCTGCGTGGCATGATGTCTTGGTTAAAAGATGGTGCTGACTTAAGCAAGGACTGATCTTGCTTGTCTTTTTGCCGACCAGCGTTGTTGTAGCTAGTCTTATTCCTCGACGTACGCAGTCATGTACGTCTGCGTCATAAGCCGTCGCTACGCCTAGCTGGACCGACAAAAATCCTGCGCAATATCTAGGTTAATAGGTGTTGTATGTGCAGGATATAAAATTTCAGATAATATGTCGGCTTACGCCATTTGGTGTAGGCCGATTTTTGAAATATACGATATTTAGGAGGGAAATTTCATGGGTATGAATATGACCGAGAAAATCCTCGCAAAGCATGCTGGCTTGGATTCGGTAACAGCAGGTCAGCTTATTACCTGTAAGCTTGACATGGTGCTTGCAAATGACGTTACTGCACCACCTGCTATTAAAGAGTTTGAGAAGATTGGTAAGCCAGTTTTTGACAACACCAAAATTGCACTGGTTCCTGATCATTTTACCCCTAACAAGGATATCAAGGCTGCTGGCTTGGCTAAGACTGTTCGTGATTTTGCCAAGAAGCATGCCATCAAGAATTATTTCGAGGTTGGCCGTGTAGGTATCGAGCACGTTATCCTGCCTGAGAAGGGCATCGTTGCTCCAGGTATGTGCATTATCGGTGCTGATTCTCACACCTGTACCTATGGTGCGGTAAACGCATTTTCTACTGGTGTAGGTTCTACTGACCTCGGCGTTGCTATGGCTACTGGTGAGGCATGGTTCAAGGTTCCAAAGGCTATCAAGGTTGTTCTGACTGGCAAGAAGCCAAAGAACATCTGCGGTAAGGACGTTATCCTGACTCTGATTGGCATGATCGGCGTTGACGGTGCATTGTACAAGGCACTGGAGTTCGTTGGCGAGGGCGTTAAGGAAATGACCATGACTGATCGTCTGACTATTTCCAACATGGCTATCGAGGCTGGCGGCAAGAATGGTATTTTCCCATTTGATGAGATTACCAAGGCTTATGTAGATGGCCGTGTAGACTACGAGTACGAGCCAGTTGTTGCTGATGAGGATGCAGAGTATGAGCAGACTGTAGAGATTAATCTCTCTGAGCTGACACCTGTTGTGGCATTCCCACACCTGCCAGGCAATACTCATCCTGTTTCCGAGATTGGTGAGATTAAGATTGATCAGGTTATCATCGGCTCCTGCACTAATGGCCGCTTAGAGGATTTACAGCAGGCAGCAGAGATTTTTGAGGGTCATACTGTTCATCCTGATGTGCGCTGTATCGTAATTCCAGGCAGTCAGCAGGTTTACCTTGATGCTGTTCATGCTGGCTATGTTGATACCTTTATCAATGCTGGCTGTGCAGTAAGCACTCCTACCTGTGGTCCTTGTCTGGGTGCTCACATGGGTATCATGACTGCTGGTGAGAAGGCTGTTTCTACCACTAACCGTAATTTCCGTGGCCGCATGGGTCATGTAGATTCTGAGGTTTATTTGGCAGGTCCTTATGTTGCAGCAGCTAGTGCAATTTTAGGCCGCATTGCAGTTCCAGAGGAGGTTAAATAATGGAAGGTAAGGTATGGCGCTACGGCGATAATATTGATACTGACGTAATCATTCCAGCACGTTATCTGAACTCCTTTGACCCAAAGGACTTGGCAGCTCATTGCATGGAGGACAGTGACGAGCATCAGGAGGCTCCATTTGCGTCTAACGTAGTTGAGGGAGATATTATGGTAGGCGGTAAGAACTTCGGTTGTGGTTCTTCTCGCGAGCATGCTCCTATCGCTATCAAGGCAGCTGGTGTGCCTGTAGTTATTGCAGCAGATTTCGCTCGTATCTTCTATCGTAATGGTATCAACATCGGTCTGCCACTGCTGGAAATCGGTGATGATGTAAAGAAGATAAGTCATGGCGATAAGCTGCGTGTAGATACTGCAACTGGTACTATCGAGAATTTGACTACTGGTGACGTTTTCCATGCACAGCCACTTCCAGGCTTCGTTCAGGAAATTGCCAATGCAGGCGGTTTAATCAATTATACAAAGAATAAGGTGTAAAATATGGCTAAGAAGATTGTTGTAATTCCTGGTGATGGTATCGGCAGTGAAATAACGTCATCCGCTGTTGAAGTATTGAAGAAGACTGCTGAGAAGTTCTCTTTGGATTTAGAGTATATTTATAAGGATGCAGGCGGTACTGCCTACGATAAGTTTGGTGTTCCACTGCCAGAAGATACCCTCAATGCCTGCAAGGAAGCAGATGGTGTTCTCTTCGGTGCTGTTGGCGGTGACAAGTGGGATAATGTAGACCCTGCACTCCGTCCAGAGAAGGCTATACTTGGTCTGCGTAAGGGCTTGGGCTTGTATGCTAACCTCCGCCCAGTAAAGGTGGCAGATTCTCTGGTAGAGTATTCTCCATTGAAGCCTGAGCTGGTAAAGGGTGTTGACCTCGTTATCGTTCGTGAGCTGGTTGGCGGTATCTACTTCGGTGAAAAGTGCGAGTCTGAGATGAAGGACGGCGTTGAGCGTGCATGGGATTTGGAAAATTATTCCATTCCAGAGGTTGAGCGCATTTCCAAGCTGGCGTTTGAAACTGCTCGTCTGCGCCGTGGCAAGGTGACTTCTGTAGACAAGGCAAATGTACTGGCTACCTCCCGTCTGTGGAGACGTACTGTAGCTGACATGGCAAAGAAGTTCGATGATGTTGAGCTTAACAATATGTACGTAGATAACTGTGCTATGCAGCTGGCAACTCATCCAGGTCAGTTTGACGTAATCGTTACTGGCAACCTGTTTGGTGATATTCTCAGTGATGAGGCTGCTGTAGTTGGCGGTTCTATCGGCATGATGCCATCTGCTTCTATCGGTGAATGCACCAGCCTGTATGAGCCAATTCATGGCTCTGCTCCAGATATTGCCGGCAAGGGTATCGCAAACCCAGTAGGTACTATCCTGTCCGCAGCTATGCTGCTCCGTTATTCCTTGCAGGAGGAAGAGGCGGCACGTGCTATTGAGAAGGCTGTTGATGGCGCACTGGCAAATGGCTGGCGTACTGCTGACCTGTGGCGTGAGGGCTTCAAGAAGGCAACTACCGAGGAAATGACTAAGGCTGTTATTGAGTGCCTGTAATACAAAGGAGGCCATAATATGAATGGAGCACAAGTAGTAGTTAAGTGCCTTGAAGAACAGGGCGTAGATACTTTATTTGGCTATCCAGGGGGTATGATACTCCCATTATATGACGCTCTTTATGATGCAGAGGATATAAATCAGATTTTGACCACACATGAGCAGAATGCGGCCCATGCGGCAGATGGCTATGCTCGTGCTACTGGCAAGGTTGGTGTTTGTATTGCTACCTCTGGACCAGGTGCGACAAATCTGGTAACTGGTATTGCTACTGCTTTTATGGATTCTATTCCTATCGTGGCAATTACTGGACAGGTAGATACAACCCTTTTGGGACGTGACTCATTTCAGGAAACAGATATTCTTGATGTGACTATGCCTGTTACCAAGCACAACTATAAGGTAAAGGACCCCAAAAAGCTGGCGGCAACTGTTCGTGAGGCTTTCCGTCTGGCTCGCAGCGGCAGACCTGGTCCTGTCCTGATAGATATACCACGTAACATACTGCTGGAGCCAGCACCTTTCTATGAGGATGATTACGTAGAAAGAGAAAAGAAGGAGCCTGATGCAGATTTCAAGATTTGTGCAGCTGAGGCGGCAGAGGTAATCTGTGCAGCTAAGCAGCCTGTTGTTATCTGTGGCGGCGGTGTTGTGTATGCTGGTGCAGGTAAAGAGGTTATCGAATTTGCAGAGCACTATAATCTGCCTATCGTGTATACTCTCATGGGTATCGGCGGTGTGCCACGTTCTCACAAGAATGTACTTGGCTTTGCAGGTATGCATGGCAAAAAGGCGGCTAATAACGCAGTAGCAAATGCAGATTTGGTAATATCTCTTGGAAGCCGTTTTGCAGACCGTCAGACTGGTAACTTGGATAAATACACTGCTGGCACTAAGTTCATTCATGTGGACATAGACCCTGCGGAAATAGATAAAAATATCGCCAGCTCCATCGGTCTTGCCGGAGATATGAAAAAGATTATCTCCATGCTGATGAAGCGTGAGGCTGCACCAAACAAACTGGAGAAGTGGTGGAAGCAGATTCGCAGCTGGCGTAATGAGTATGCTTATGACTACAATGTTACCAGACTTACTGTACCTTGGGCGATGAATCATATCGCAAAGGCAACTAAGGGTAAGGAATTTGCTTTTGCTACAGACGTAGGACAGCATCAGATGTGGTGTGCCCTTCATCTGCGTGTAGAGGAGCCTCGTACATGGCTGACCTCTGGCGGACTTGGCACTATGGGCTTTGGTCTTCCAGCGGCAATGGGCGCACAGGTAGCCTACAAAACACATGGCAGCAAGCGCCGTATAATATGTGTATCTGGTGACGGTGGTATCAAGATGACAGGTAACGAGCTTTATACCGTATCTCGCTTGCAGCTGCCATTGATATCTATCATTGTGAACAACACCAGTCTGGGCATGATTCGTCAGCTTCAGAAGGTAATGTACAAGGAACGCTATATTGCCTGTCAGGAAGAAATGAGTCATCCAATGGACTTTGCTGCATGGGCAGGAAGCTTCGGCATTGACGCAGTGAATGTGGATTCACCAGAGGGCTTTGCAGAAGCCTTTGCAAAGGCTGTAGCCGAAGATGATAAGCCACATGTTATAGTTATGAATATTCATAGAAGCTTTGTGGAGCCTATGATTAAGGGCGGCGCAAGGATAAATGAATTTGTAGATTTTAAATGATTTTAGAGTAGGTATGACCTTCGGGTTGTACCTATTTTTTATTATATTGAATTACAATACAATATTTTATTGAAAAAATGTACAAGGTGTGATATACTTATAAAATAAGGAATAAAAACTTTGAAATATATTGTTGGAGATAAGATGTTCATTACAGATAAAATTAAGAATATTTTTGGCGTATCTGATGATAAAATTGAATTGGACAAGATATCAGCTCAGGAATTAAAAGAAAATATGGAACAACTGAATTATGCGCTGGTTGAGTACATGACTTTGTTGAAAAATAGAAAAAGATTGTATTGGCTTAATTTTCAGGTTGGTATTATTCGAGGTGTGGGGGGAGCTATTGGCTCCATTGTAGTATTTGCTATTATATGGCAAGCACTGTATTCAATGATAGAGATGAATGTACCTTTTATTAGTGAAAGAGTTGCGGATTTTATTAGTATGGTAGAGGCGAATCGTAATGAGCTTGCAAAATAAAAGCAGTGAATTAAAAACGATGCGAACTAATATAGAATATATGAATGAAATATTAGCAGAGAACATGATATTGTTGAGTAAAACATTTACCAAATTTCTATGGCAATTTGGTATGGGCGTATTAGAGGGGGTGATGTACTCTTTTATTGCATTGGTAGGGCTGAACTTTATTATTGAATCTCTGTGGAGATTGTTTATAAATTGGTAGCTTTAGTTACGGAAGAAGATAATAAAAACAAGTAATATAATATTTAAAAACGTGTATGAAGGCGATTCTAACGAAGATAAAAAAGAAATATTAGTGGTAACATAAATTTTAGGTGTTAAGTTAAAATATGAAATTGTTAAATATTAATTAGAGGGTATATAATATGGCAATAAAAGAACATTTTTCTGAGATTTTAGATCAAATTATAAAAGAGGATAGTTCTTTTGTTCGCATTGCAGTTATTGGACAGCCAGGAGCTGGCAAATCGTCATTAATAAATAATTTAATTGGTAAAAAGGTTGCAGAAACAGGACAAGGAACAGATATAACTGTAAAAGCAAGTGAATATTTTATAAATATGCATAAAATAGTTGATTTGCCAGGATATGGAACAAAGAAATTTTCGTTTAATTCATGGTGTAATGAATTTAAACCTTGTCAGTATGATGTTTTTCTTTATGTTTTTTCAGGGAAATTTAAAAGCGAAGACAATGATTTGTTCGTAAATTTAAAAAAATGGAATGAAGAACGTAATAGACCGTTGCTGTTAGTTAGAAACCATAGCTCCGAGATAGAGACAGTAGATGAAAGAAAAGTTGTTAAAGAAGATGTAGCTAAGCATATTAATTTATCTGATGTTCCAGAAGTATTCTTTGTCGACTGTGGTAAGCATAAAGAAGGTATAGATTATTTACGTAAAAATGTTTTTTCTTTAGATTATAATAGGATAAAAAAGGAACGAATTTTAAAATCATTTAATATTGTAAAATCAGAAATATTGAAAAAATGTGAAGAAGCTGCTGAAAGTACAATAGGAACATCGTCAAAAGTGGCAGCTGTTAATGGTCTTAATCCTATTCCAGGGTTAGATATAGCTGTTGATTTAGGTGTGTATTTTGCAATGTTTGAGAAGATTAAATCTGATTATGGTATAGATAATTCTGATTTGAATGAATATATAATGCTTCCAGTTGCTAAAAAATTGTTAGAACTGTTAACAAAAGAAGGATTGTTATATCTTTTGAAAAGATTTGCAGGTCGAGCGGCAGTAAAGTCTGTAAGCAAATATGTTCCATTCATAGGGCAGGCAATAGCAGTAGGTATTGGCTATCAAATGGCAGAATATGCAGGCAATGAATATGCCAAAAGTTGTCGTGAAATGACAGTTGAAGTACTAGATAAGCTGATAACGGATAGCTTTGAAAAGGTTAGTTGCTCATATGGTTTAAGTGCAAATGTATCATAAACCTGGTAAATTTTATAAAATATATGGAGGTAATATCATGGATGAGAATGATTTTAAAGACACTGTCTTTAAGGAGGTGGGGTTAGCAGGTGATTTGAAGCGTAAGTATGAAGAAATGAAAGCAAATCATGAACTTAAGGTGAAAGTTTCATTGGTAGGACAGCCTGGTGCAGGCAAATCAAGTCTTATAAACAGATTATTGGGTGTGAATGCTTTTAGAGCTGGTGTAATAACTGATTGTACGGTAGAATCACAGGAAAGTGAATTTGGAGATTTGGTAATTCGTGATTTACCGGGGTATGGCACTAAAGGCTTTCCAGTAGAAGCGTGGTTAAAAAAATTCCATCCTGAAGAAGATGATATTTTTTTGTATGTTTTTTCAGGCAAGCTGACGGAAAGTGATGAGAAGTTATTTATGTATTTAGCAGATTGGAAAAATGTACGCAATCATCCAATCTTTATTGTAAGAAATAAGGTAGATACTCTTTATGATGATGATAAAACAGATGAAATGCTTCGTCAGGAAATCGTTGCTGATATTAGAGCAAAGTTAAAAGATCCTTCGGCGGATATGTACTTTACCAGTTGTCATAAAAAATATGAAGAAGGTATAGATGAACTGAAAAAAGGCATATTTGATATTGCTGCTGTTAATATGAGTAAGATTAAACAGGATAAACTTAGGTTGGCATTTAGGGCATCTACTAAAAAAGAATTAGACGACAAGAAAAAAATAATGAAGGACAATATAAGTTATTATGCAGCAGCAGCGGCAGCTAATGCTATTAATATAATACCTGGTATAGATGCAGCGGTAGATATAACTATAATTTTAAAAATGATGCAGGATATAAGAGAGGCCTTTGGGCTTGGTGATGATGAAGCAAAACTTAATAAATGGAGTATCGCTACACCAGTGGCACAACGAGTATTTGGTTATGCTACACGTGAAGGTGTAATGATGTTATTAAAGGAGTTTGCTGGCAAACAGATTGTAAAGGAAGGTGCTAAATGGCTGCCTTTCGTTGGTCAGGCTTTAGCAGCAGCCTTAGGATATGGTATGGTAAGCTATATAGGTAGACAGTACGTGGATGATTGTTATGAGTTGGCTTGTGAAATTATGGAAGATACAGCTCATTAAAGTTTATTCAATTTAAGATGAGTGATACACCTTATTAGATAGTTCTTCATTAGCTATGGATAAGGTGTTTTTTTATACGTGACCGTAACAATAAATTTTTTATTGCGTTTTCGTATCAAATGATATATAATTAATGTAAATTCATAGATTCTTCAATATTTACAGGGGTTGAGGTACTCTGAAAGTATATTTAATATAGAAGGACTGAGTATATTTACGAAGCTTGTATACGGTGGTGAATATTATGGGGGAATATTTTAATCCTGGAAATGAAGCGTATCGAGTAGATTCAAATTCTGAATTGTATGTGGATAAAACAGGACTTATCAATGAAATGAATAGAATAGTTAATACGACAAAAAATTGTATTGCTCTCAGTCATGCTCGGCGTTTTGGTAAAACTCAGGCCGCAGATATGCTTAAGTCTTATTATAGTAAAGGCTGTGATTCTAAAGAATTATTTGAAGCTCGTGAAATTTCAAAGATTAAAAACTGGGATAAATATCTAAATGAATTTAATATGATTTATTTGGAGATGGCAACCTTTGCTGGTAATTATAAAGAAAATCTAGTAGATAAAATAAAAAAAGAAATATATAAGGAATTTGTTACAAAATATCCAGAAATAGTGTATTCAGATAAAATAGATACTGTTATCAATAGAGTTTATCAAAAAACAGGAATTAAATTTGTAATTATTATAGATGAATGGGACGCTGTAGTTCGTAATCATTCAGATAGACCTGATTTAGTTCATAGATATATGCAATTTTTACATGATATATTTAAAAGTGCAGGAGCAAAAGAATTTTTAGCATTAGGCTACATAACAGGTATTCTTCCCATAAAGAAAATAGAAGATGAGTCTGCACTCAATAATTTCAAAGAATATACTATGATAAATTCAGGAAGAATTGCAAAATACTTTGGTTTTACAGAGAATGAAGTCAAAGAGTTATGTGAATGCTATAATATGAATTTTGAATCAGTGCATAAGTGGTATAATGGATACCTTATAAATGGTTTTCACATGTATAATCCAAATTCTGTATATCAAGCTATGACAGATGGTGTATTAGATTCATATTGGAAGAATACATCAGCATTTTCGACTATTAACAAATATATTACATTAAATATGGATGGATTAAAAGACGATATAATAAAAATGCTTTCTGGAGAAAAAGTAGAGGTTAATACTAATACGTTTAAAAATGATCTATCTATTGTTAATTCAAAGGATGAGGTGTTGACAGCCCTTATTCATTTAGGATATTTGGGATATGATGCTGAATATCAGGAGGTATTTATTCCTAATTATGAAGTTTCAACTGCATTTCATGCTGCTATTCAAACCGGTGCATGGACTGAGATTGCAAAATCTATTTCAAATGCTAACAAATTATTGAATGATACTATTAAAGGTAATGCACAGTCAGTAGCACAAAAGTTAGATGATGCGCATAATGCATATTCATCAATAATTAAATATAATAATGAAAATTCATTAAGCTGCATAATAACTATGGCGTATGCAACAGCAACAGCATACTACAATATTGAAAGAGAATTACCAACAGGTAAAGGATTTGCAGATTTGGTATTTATACCTCGTAAAGATACTATAAATAAACCAGCAATAATCGTTGAACTAAAATATGATAAAAATGCTGATGCTGCTATTAAGCAAATTAAAGAAAAACGTTATGCAGGTAAATTGACAGGTTATGCAGATAAGATTTTATTAGTAGGTATTAATTACGATAAAAATACAAAAAAACATACATGCTTGATTGAAGAGTATCAAGTATGAGTAAAGTCATGATTATGAGAAAGAGGGCGGAATAAATGATTAGAAAGGGTATTATTTTAGCAGGTGGCAGTGGTACAAGACTTTATCCATTGACGAAGGTAGTAAGTAAGCAGCTTATGCCTGTATACGATAAGCCTATGATTTACTATCCACTCAGCACTCTTATGTTAGCTGGTATCAATGATATTCTCGTGATAACTACACCAGAGGATAACAATAATTTTAAGAGATTACTGGGAAATGGTTCTCAGTGGGGAATCAAAATATCCTATGCTATACAGCCAAGTCCAGATGGATTGGCACAGGCGTTTATTATCGGTGAAAAGTTTATCAATGGTGAAGGATGTGCATTGGTATTAGGTGATAATATTTTCTATGGTGCAGGCATGAGTGAATTGATGGAACGGGCTGCAAAGCAGGAGGACGGAGCGACTGTTTTTGCATACTATGTGCGTGACCCAGAGAGATACGGTGTTGTAGAGTTTAATGAGGCTGGTCAGGCTATCAGCTTGGAGGAGAAGCCGGCAGAGCCAAAGTCAAATTATGCTGTTACAGGTCTGTACTTCTATGATAAAGATATAGTTGAGATTGCGAAATCTGTAAAGCCTTCACCACGTGGTGAGCTTGAAATTACGGATGTAAATAAGGCATATTTGGAGAAGAAAAAGCTTCATGTAGAGCAGATGCGGCATGGCTATGCTTGGCTTGATACCGGTACACATGATTCACTTATGCAGGCTGCTGCATTCGTACAGACTATACAGGCTCGTCAGGGACTTAAGATTGCATGTATAGAAGAAATCGCATATCAGAAGGGATATATCAGTAAGGAGCAGGTACTTACCTTGGCTAAGCCACTGGCAAAGAACGAGTATGGAAAATATCTGATTCAGATGATACAGGAATAAGTGATAGCTGGTAGTTATTAGTTGGAGTGATTAATAATGAAGAAAATAAATAAAATTATAGGTTTGACATTGGCAGGTATGTTTGCTTTTTCTGTTGCCAATGCACAAATTATAGAGCAGTCCATGAATAACAATTTTTCCATGATGCACTCAGAAAATATCAATGGAAAAATAACAAAGAAAAATGTAAATCTGAAGATTTCAACAAAATATCCATTGGTGCTTCTTAAGAATCAGAAAGCACAGGATAAAATAAATGATGTGCTGCGTCAGTATGTAAATTCTATGAGCGAATTTCGCAGAGGTATAGATGATGATACAGCAGTTGTGCCATCAGAGATTGCCATAAGCTATGAGGTAAAGCGTGACGATAATAAGTATGTTTCCATCGTTATGACCTACTATACATATTGTGAAGGTGCAGCACATGGCAATTACAAGGTAGAGACATTTACATTTAATGCGAAAAATGGTGAACTGCTTCCTTTCAGCCATTTTGTAAAAATGAAGCCAAATGATATTGCCTTTGAGATACATGAGCATCTGTATGATGCAGGTGATAAGCCTTATGATTGTAAGGGATATGTTATGGATGAGTCATTACCAACAGAGATAACAAAATATTATATCGACCAGGACAATAACGTTTATATGCTGTTTGACCCTTATGAGATGGCACCTTATGCGGCAGGCGTTACATACGTGAAATTGACACCTGCACAGCAGAAAAATTACAACAATAACGGACCACGTGGATAATGGAGTTTTAGATAAAGGAGAGTATTATGTCAATATTAAGTTTTGATGTGGGTGGCAGCAGTATTAAATTTGCTGTTATGGAAGAAGACGGACGTATTGAAGAAAAGGGCAGTGTTCCTACTCCAGATAATATAGAATCATTTTATAAAGAATTGCAGAATGTTAAGGAAGGTTTTGCAGAAAAATATACTTTTGAAGGTGCAGCGTTTAGTCTGCCAGGGGCGGTAGATGATGAAAATGGTGTAATCGGTGGTTTTAGTGCAGTAGAGTACATCCATAATTTTAAGATAAAAGATGCACTTTCAGAAAAACTGTCTTTGCCAATATCTATGGAAAACGATGCTAATTGTGCTGCATTGGGTGAGGTGTGGTTAGGTGCAGCTAAGGAATGTGAAGACGCAGTATTTATGGTAGTTGGCACAGGAATTGGCGGAGCAGTAGTAAAAAATAGAAAAGTACATAAGGGAAAACATCTGCATGGCGGTGAATTTGGCTACATGCTGCTGGATAGTGACAGTTATCAGGTGTTGAGTGGCGCAGCATCAACTATTTCAATGGCAAAGAAAATTGCTGAAGAAAAAGGCTTGCCAGAAGAAAGCGTTAATGGAAAAATTGCTTTTGAAATGCTGGAGCAGGGTGATGAAGTAGCTAAGAAACATATTGATAAAATGTACGAATATATAGCTCGTGGTATCTTTAATATTCAGTATGTTTACGACCCAGAAGTAGTGGTTATCGGTGGCGGCATAAGTGAACGCCCAGATTTTGTAGATAACATCAATAAGCATTTAAAGGATATTATAGCAGGTATTGGATTTGCTAAAGTTTATCCTGAAGTTCGTCGTTGCCAGTTTGGTAATGATGCTAATCTTATAGGTGCAGTGTATAACTTTTTAAATTAATCATATTGTAAGTAACTTGCTTTTTCAGGAGGGAATATGGTGATTAAGTTGGAAAATAATGTTTTATTAGGAAGCCTGGCAGCTTCTATGTTATTGGGAACAAATGTATTTGCTTCATCCGCAGGAATCCATGTTGATCAGGTTGGATACCTTTCAAAATATGATAAGGTAGCCATGGTATCAGGTGACATGAAGGAAAATGAATTTTCTGTCAAGGATGCATGGACTGATGAGGTAGTATACAGTGGCGTATTGACAGCACCAGCAGATGATGCTATGTCAGGGGAGAAGGTACGTAAAGCAGATTTTTCAGCTTTGAAAAAACCAGGTTTATATAAAATAACAGTAGGTAACGAGGAATCCTATAACTTCCAGATAGGTGATAATGTTTATTATATACCTGCGTTACAGAACTGGCGTTCATATACCCTTACCAGAAGCGGAGATTATATCAAGGATGATTTGACAGGCCTTGAAGTAATGCATGGTCATCCACAGGATAAAAGTGCTGTGATGTTTTACTCTGATGATTACTATGAAAAGGGTGAAACAATGGATATGAGCGGTGGCTGGTATGATGCTGGCGATTATGGCAAATATACCACTACGGCAATAGTTGCTGTGACTCAGATGATGATGGCGTATGAGGAACATCCAGAATTGATTGCCAGTCTTGAATTTTTTCCACCTGACAGCGTTAAAAAGGATGCTGGTCTTCCAGATGCCATCAACGAGCTAAAATACGAATTGGACTTCATGAAGAAGATGCAGCGTAAAGATGGCAGTGTGTTTCATAAAGTTAGTGGCGCAAACTGGCTAAAGGGCGAATACACACCAGATACAGATGCACAGACTCGTTATATCTATGGTAACTCCAGTGCCTGCTCTGCTATGTATGGCGCAGCAATGGCAATGGCAGCCAGAGTGTTTGCAAACTATGATAAAGCATACGCTGATGATTGTCAGGAGAGAGCCGAAAAGGTGTGGGCGTATTTAGAACAGCACCCAGATACTTATTTTAGGTTGGACGATAAGCAGGACAGCGGTTCAGGACCTTATGATGATTACGATGATGCAAATGAGCGTTGCTGGCTGGCTGCAGAACTTTTTAAGAACACTAGAAATACAAAATATCAGCAGTATCTTATGGATAAAAACGATATAATGTGTTCAAAATCAACTTTCTTTGTATGGAATGATGCAAAAGCATTAGCACAGTTTGCATACATAATGGATGATGCAGCAGATAGGGAATATAAAGCTAAGGTTAAGAATGGTTTTATGGAATATGCTGATGAAGTTTTGCAGGATATTAATAAAGACGGATTTAACTGTTCATTACTGAAAAATGAGTATGTATGGGGTTCATCAAAGAATGCACTTTTAAAGGGTGCGGTACTTATCATGGCAAATCAGATTGAACCAAAGCCAGAATATGTTGAGGGAGCATTGAGCCAGATTCATTATACTTTTGGCAGAAACGTGTTGAATAGAAGCTATATGACAGGTGTAGGCAGTAATCCACCGCAGAAACATCTGAGCTATATTCGTCAGAGTACAGGAGCGTATATTCCGGGATTATTAGTGGGAGGTCCAAACTGTTCCTTTGGTGATGCATTACAGCAGAAAATGTTAAAAGAACAGAATCCGCCACCAGCAAAATGCTATATAGACAGCGGACTGTCTTATTCGACTAATGAATACGCTATTGATTATACCAGTGCTGCACTTTATGATTTATCCTGGTTTATCGCGAAGGAAAAAGTTGAAGCTAAAGATTTGAAGCTGTATGGACCTTATGCTAAAAAGGATAAGCGTGGCGTATAAATGTCTATAACGGTAAAAGGGTATTTACGTGGTTAGATTATGGAGAAAGGAGAAGGCTTAATGCAAACAAATTTAGCAGAAAAAGACTATAAAGGTAAATCATTTGAGATAATAGATGGACAAGTATACATGATGTCACCAGTACGTTTCACTCATGCAATCATAGCAGGAAATATATATCGTATCTTTTCCAATTATCTTAAAGGGAAAAAGTGTATTGCTATCCCTGATGGCGTTAAGGTCGAGGTCACAAATGTTAAAACTGGTAACAAAAATAGTTTAGTTCCAGATTGCATGATTGTATGTGACAGAAGTAAAATAAAAAATGATTTGATTGTCGGTGCACCTGATTTAGTAGTGGAAGTATTGTCAAAATCAACAATGAAGATTGATAGAACCATAAAAAAAGATGTGTACGAAAATATTGGTGTGAAGGAATATTGGATCGTTTCTGCAGGCGATAAATCTATAGAGAGATATTTGCTTGTAGATGATAAATATGATTTGGAAAATGTGTACTATCTTGATGAAAACTATGAAAGTTTTGCAGATGAGTACTCTGCGTTGATACCACTGCTT